TTGTGCTGAGGGGTTGTGCTGGAGGGTTGTGCTGAGGGGTTGTGCTGAGGGGTTGTGCTGCGGCGGTTGTGCTGGGGGGGGGCGTGCTGGGGGGGGGTTGTGCTGAGGGATTGTGCCGGAGGGTTGTGCTGGGGGGTTGTGCTGAGGGGTTGTACCGGGGGCTTGTCCTGAGGGGTTGTGCTGGGGGGTTGTGCTGAGGGGTTGTGCTGAGGGGTTGTGCTGAGGTGTTGTGCTGGGGGGTTGTGCTGAGGGGGTGTGCTGGGGTGTTGTGCTGATCGGTTGTGCTGGGGGGCTACTACCGGTTCGAACCCCCCCCCCCCCCCCCACTCCGGATCCGGAAAACCGGGGGGGTCACTACCGGTTCGAACCCCCCCCTACTCACGGCCAGCAAACGACTCCCGGTCCCCACCACCGTCCGCATCACATCCCCCACTGGCGTTCCCAGCACCACTGTCCTCACCACCACTGTCCCCACTGGCTGGTTCCACCACCGTCCCTATTGTCCCCACCAGTGCCCCCACCACTGTCGCACTGTCCCCACTGTTCCCACAACTGTTCCCACCACGGTTCCACTCTCCCCACTGTCTCCACGGACCCAACCACTGCCTATCCCCCCTGTCCCCACTGTCCCACTGACTCCTCCGCTGTCCCACTGAGCTGTCCCACTGTTCCCACCACTGTCCGCACTGTCCCCACCACTGTCCCCACTGTACCTCTGTCCCATTGTCCCACCGCCGTCCTCGCCACCGCCTTTACCAGTGTCCCCACCACCATTGTACCCTCCACTGTCCCAGTGTTTCCACCTCATTCCCACTGTCCCCCCACACCACTGTCCCCACCACCACCGTTCCCACCACTGTCCACTGTCCCCCCTGTTCCCACCATTGTCCTCACCACTGTCCCCACCACTACCGGCCCTCTACTGTCCCACTGTCCCACTGTCCCCACCACTGTCCCGCTGTCCCCTCACCACTGTCCCACCAACACCGTCCCCACCTCTGTCCGCACCCCCACTCGGTTTTCGAGGGGGGGGTGGGGTTCGAACCGGTAGTGACCCCCCCCCTTTTCATGATGAGCTGGGGGGGGGGGGGAGGGTTCGAACCGGTAGTGACCCCCCCCCCGTTTTTCGGCGGGGGGGGGGGGGGGGGGGGGGGAGGGGTTCGAACCGGTAGTGACCCCCCCCGGTTTTCCGCCAGCAGCGGTAGAACACGCGCTTTCTGACCTCCGCACACCCATCTCCCGCCCCGCGTCTTACCCGCATCTCTCCACATTCCCTCCTGCACCCACCTCCTCCACCCTTGAACGCACGCTGGTGCCAACAACGACGCTGGTGATGGCGGTATCGGCAATTCGATTGCGGCAGCAACTTCGACATTGATTACCCGGCAAAAAAACGGCCGCAAGCGATGACTGCCATGGGTTTAGCCGTGACTTCGGCGATGGCGTAGGGCGAAGACATCTGTCCATTGGACCCATCCTGGAGCCGACTCGTGGGCTAGGAACCAGGCTTGGAGCCCCAAAGCAACCAGAAATCCACACGCGTCCTGGCACCCCACAGCAAAACGACCCGATCAGGGGCCGGCGTGACGTGCAGACTGCCGGCGACGATGTGACTGTTTCAAGGAACAGCGCCAGAGAATCGCCCGCCGTGCCCGAGCAGAAGCCTCAGAGGAGCGCCTCGACCGCGGGCAACGTCCGCACGCACTCCACCGCGGAGCGCCCCGCCGATGCGACCCCACCTCGATCGGACATGCTGCCGGGTCGCCGCAGCGCTGGGAGGCGGGGGGCAGGATGAGGAGGGCGCGCCCGTTCCACGGCGAGCAGGCATGGAGTAGAACCGAGCAAGGCGCGACGCACGCGGCGGGACGGAAGGGCCACCAGGCTCTCGAGGTGACGTCGAAGAAAAAAGATCACTTACATGGGCTTTCGGAGCTCCGAGCGGATGTCCCGGATCGGCGTTGGACCCTCTACAGGAGGAACATCGAAGAATAGCAGGACATAGATGTGGTGACGATTATCCGTGCTCTTTTTGTTGACAATGTGCTGCCTATGTCTTATTTTCCTTCCAGAACCCGCCTGTAGAAGGACACGTCCGGCCTGAAGCCAAGCGAGGAGAAGTCGGATCGGCGGACATCGGAAGGCCAATCGGTTGAGAAACACCGGAGTCCACACCGGAATCCACAGCCGAGCCGAATTGGAGTCGGAAGCCATCGGGCCCGACGCGAACAGGAGGAGCCGACACGAGCCCCGGGGCGGAGCCAGCCGGAGGCTCTGGAATGTGGCCCTGCCCGCAAGGCGGGCCCCATGCCCCCCCCGCGGCGGGAGCGGGGCGCCCCGGGCGCCTTCTGCGGACCTCCGCCCGCAGCGGAGCGCCACGACCCTGGGGGCCCTGAGCTGGCGGCCTGCAGGAGGGGGGCAGGGGAAGGGGGGAAGGCTTCTTAGAAGGAGCCTGATTCTTAGAAGGCGCCGGCCTCACATTTGCAGAGAAGGCCCGCGCCTTCTAAGAAGCAGGGGTGCTTCTAAGAAGCCCTCCCCCCTCCCCATACCCCCCCGTGCGCGCCGCCAACTGAGATCCTTTCTCTTTTGGCCGGGCGTGCCCCGGGGCTCTCACATGTCAGATCGATCCGGCTGGGAAAATGACGCAGAGAGAATGTGGTCAAGGGCTCCAGGCGCGACTGTTCCCGATGTTCCAGCGCTTTCGCTACGTCGGATCTGAGGGGGAGCACCACTCTCAGCGTCGGAGCTGGCTTGGGGTCCGAGATGGCCCAGCACTGGTTCCGGCGAGCAGGGAGGGGGGGCAGGTTCGCGGCGCTGGATTAGAGAAGAGGTGTTTGGCCTTTTCCGGCCTCTGGGGGCCGTTTTCGGGCCCAGGGACCGTGAAAAACAGCTCCGGGGCGAACAACTGCACCAGATGGACCCGAGGAGGGGTCCGGGATCGACGTTGAGCGGATTTGGCTCCATCCCCTCTCCTACCCGATTCTCTAGGGTGCCAGCCACATCAGACCCCCTCGCGGCCTCCCATGAAGCGGAACTCTCGGGGATTGTTTCTGACTCGCGGTCGGCAACTTTTGCTCAGCGTGTCGCCCCGGCGGCCCGCTATGCCTGGCAAGCGGATCGCGTGTCGCTCCGCCCCGCGGGGTGTGAGGCCCGGAAGAGCTCGGGGCGGTGTCGCTAGGGGGCCTGGAGGTGGACAGCGTGTTGCTACGGAGCGCAGCGTGGCAGAACCGGCGGAGCGGCACGCTGCCCAAAAGATCACGATCGTGACTCTGGTAATAAGGGTCGTCACCCGGGACGGGGTGTGTGGGGCCCTGGGTAACGGTTCTGCTGGGGAGGGGTGGGGCACGTCGGGGAGTGGGTACGCTGCGATCGCCATAGCGTTCGCGCGGGCACCAGCATATGGGGGGGCCCTCCCCCGACGTACGATGATTACCAGTACCCCGGCGGACAGGGGGGGGAGCCGGATAACGCCTGCTCCACGCGCCAGAAGATAAAACAAGCATCTCCCGAGGCTGCGCGACGCGTGGCCCAATCCCTGTGCTAGATCTTGGGGGGAGAAGAACCCAAGACCTCCAACGTCGTGATTGTTTCACAACGTCGACCCCCAGAGGTCTGGACCCCTTCCCCAGGACCGGCTTCTCATCCCGAGCCATTTCTTGACGGTCTGGGGCCCCGGTACGGGCCCCTGGAGGCCGAATACAGCGAAAAACCTCCCGTCGTGCTTTTCCACGAGACTGCAGAGGCACAAACTTCCAGAGGTCCACGCGGAGCTCTCGGATCGGCACCGACCCGCCCCCTCCCTGGCGCGCCAGGGGCGCGCCACCGCCGAAAGCTGACGTCAGTGCATTTTCGGTCGCCGCTTCCTCCTCTTCGAATCCTTGTTGAAGGGGCCCTGGGACACACAAATAAATACACACAAATAAAAGGATTCCCCATATTTTCGTATATTTTCTGTGGTTTTGCCTTCCCCCCAACTTCCCATATTTTCTTATATTTTCTGGGGGATCGCCGATTAATTGTGTCTGTGTGTTTCTTTCCCTCCTGATTTGTGCAGAATCGCCCTTGCCGGACTCGGCGCCTGAGGCCTCAAGTGCCGAGACTCTGGGCAAGTGGCCGTCGTTTGGGCAAGAGTGCCGTCACGATGCGATGGGCTCCGGCCGTGTCGCCTGAATCCTGGGGTACCTATAGCGACCCTCGTTTCTGGAGCCCGCGTGGATCGTTAGGAGTTCTGGGAAATCCAGGACAACCTGGAACACATCGTTATCATGACATCTTGCTCCTCCACAGCCAACCCATGTTGCAAGGCTGCGCGGTAAGGGCGCAAGCTCTTGGAAAGCCACGCGGACGTTTTTTTGTTCGACCAGTGCTAACCAGCGAAAGTTGCCAGGGATGGGACGAAGGGGCCAGTATGCAAGTGGTAACCTTGGAACGTTGTTCATTCTTACTATGTGGGTTCACTGTCCAGGGCATGTTTCAATACATCGGATTTTTAACACATGACTAATTTATGAGTACATTTAGGCATGACCTCATCGTTGTTTTTAATACTACATCCCTGCATTTTTAATACATGGTCCGCACGCGGAGCATGTATTGAAAACGGCTTCGTGGCGTTCCCTCGGCGCCAGAGGTCTGGGCCTGTATTGCACCGCCCGGCCCTCGCAGCTCACGACTCGAGGCAGCCAGCCCGAGGGCCGGCAGCATCGGCTCTGCACCGCACCTCGGCCGGCTGGGCGCGCCGCAAGCTCTCGCCCACTGGTGCTGCACCTCCGTCTCGTCCTGATCTCGCTGCTGCTCCTGCGACTGGTCGTGCTTCGCATCCTCCTCCTCCGCCTCCTCCTCCCCCTCCTCCACCTACACCACCTCCTCCTCCTCCTTCTCCGCATCCTCCGCATCCTCCTCCAGCCACAACTGCTGCCACTCCGCCTTCTCCTCCTGCTCCTCTGCCACATCGTGCTCCTCCTGCTCCTCCTCCTTCTCCTGCTCCTCTGCGTCCTCGTCCCTGTTCTTGTTTTTGTCATGTGCTTCATTCCTTGCTCGCCAGACTCCTCCTCCTCCTCCTCCTCCTCCTCCTCCTCCTCCTCCAGCTGCTCCTGCTCCGTCGACTCCTCGCGCGGTCCTCATTCCTCTCACTCCCATCTCTTCTTCTCCCGAGACTCCTCCTCCTCGTCCTCCTCCTCCGCCTCCTCCTCATCCTCCTCTCCTCCTCCCCTCGTCCTTCTCTCATCCTCCGCTCATCCTCCTTCTCCTCCTCCTCCTCCTCCTCCTCATCCTGATCATTAGGATAATCATCACCACCATCATCATCATCATCATCATCATCATCAACATCATCAGTAGCATCACCACCATCATCCTCATCCTCATCATCGTCAGCATTACCACCATCATCATGATCAGCAGCATCAGCATCGCAATCGTCAACATCATCGTCATCAACATCATCACTATCGGCATCAGCATCCTCCTCATCATCAGCAGCATAATCAGCATAATCAGCATCATCATCATCATCATCATCACCACCATAATCGTAACCACCATCACCATCGTGATAATCAGCTTCACCATCACCACTATCAACATCATCGTCATCAGCATCATCAGCATAGACATCATCATCACTATCGTCATCGTCATCGTCACCGGCATCATCATAATCGTCATCCGCATCAGTACCATCATCATTTGCATTATCAACATCAGCATCGTCAGTATCACCAATGCCATGATGATCATCATCATCATCATCATCATCAGCATCATCATCATCATCATCATCATCATCATCATCATCATCATAATCATCAGAAACATCAGTATCGCCAGCATCATCTGCATCACTGTCAGCAGCATCATCAGTATCAGGATCAGCATCACCAGCATCATCATCATCATCATCATCATCATCATCATCATCATCATCATCATCATCATCATCATCGCCTTCGTAATCGGCATTCGCATCACCATCAGCATCGGCATCATCATCAGCAGCATCCGCATCTCCATCCTCATCATCACCACCAACATCATCCTCAATCCTTCTCCTCATGCTCATCAGATTCATCAGCAGATTCATGCTCACCATCCCCATCCCCATCCTCATCATCAAACGCATCCTCATGCTCATCCTCATCCTTCTCCTCCCCATCAGCATCTTCATCCTCCTGCTGATCATCATCATCAGCATCAGCATCGTCATCAGCTTCGTCATCGTCACCTCGCACTCCCCCTCAAATCTCCTCAACATCATGCTCCTTCTCCTCCTCCTACTACAATAACAACTACTACTGCTACGACGACTACTGGTACTACTACTACTACTACTACTACTACTACTACTACTACTACTACTACTACTACTACTACTACTACTACTACTACTACTACTACTACTACTAAATACTACTACTACTACTA